CCCTTTATACCATAGACTAGGCTTTCTGTGCTTGATTCCAGTTGGCTTCTGATGAACTTTATGGCTTTAGACTTTATTTCCAAGTCTCTGATCCACCTTGAATTGATTTTTTTTTAATTTTTAATTTTTTTTTTTACATGTGAGACGTGGATCTTTGAGTTTTCTGCAGTTAGCAGTCCAGTTTTGCCAGCACCATTTGTTGAAGAGGCTGTCATTTCCTCATTTGATAGGTTTTACTTCCTTGTTGAGTATCAGTTGACTGTAGATAGATGTGTCCATTTTGGGGTTCTCAATTCTGTTTCATTGATTTATGTGCCTGTACTTGTACCAGTACTATGCTGTTTTGGTTACTACCACTGTGTTGTAGGTTTTGAGATCAGGGAGTGCTATACCTCTCACTTTTGATCGCCTTTAAAAAATGAATTTTCACCCATTATTTTTAATGTATATTCAGCTGATTTCCAACTGCAAAAGTTGGTAGAAGTTATCCATTTTCTGCTCATTGGCTCTGGTTGTTGGCACATATCAATTAAAAGTTAATCTTTCATAGGGAAGAAATTCTCAGTGTGCTTTTTACAATCTTTTGGCTAAAGGGCGTATGTTTCCTTTCAATTTATAAGATTATATTTAGGGAGCTCTGGTGGCCTAGTGGCAAGGAGCGGCAACTACAATCCCAGAGGCACATGGTTAGAATCCACCAGATGTTCTGCCGGGAAAAGGAGGGACAATCTCCTCCTGTACCAGTTAGATCTGATTTGACGGTACACTCACACAAAATTAAAATTTTTTAAAAAAAGGTTATATTTAACAGTCTCTTTTCTTTTCTTATAAGAGGTTTTCACTGCTGGCAGCACTGTTTCAGGTGCCTAAGAATGTTTTTGAAAGTCACTTCATTCATAATACCTGCCAAGTTACGTTTCACATATCTTTCCCAAGTCAATGAATATCAAGCTCACATTGATGCTTTAGGGTGGGACTGTCACAGAATGTACACACTTTGTCCCTAGGATATTTAAAGTGAAGCAGGTGCTAGATGGAATTTCTTTTGCTATTCCATGAGCTCTGTTAGTTCTATATCTTTAGCACACCTAATGCTTCAATAAACCAGATGTCTAATCAATAAATTTTAAAAAATTACTAAAAAGACAAATTGGAAGAAAGGAAAGACATGGAATATGTAATAAAAGGCTGATTAGACATTTCAATTCATTCATTATATGCCTGATTCAGTCCATGGCCTTTGCACAATTACATGTTATGCATCAGAGAGCTGGACAGTGACTAACGATGATAGAAGAAGAATCAATGGCTTTGAGTTGTGATTCTGGAGAAAAGTATTGAATATACCACAGACTGCGAGAGAACAAACAGGTCTGTCCTGGAGAGGGTGAAACCAAGCTGCTCCTTGGAGGCAAGGATTTTGAAACTGCGTCTCACATACTTTGGGCATGTGGTCAGGTCCTTGGAGAGGGACATCACTCTTTGAAGGGTGGAGGAACAGCACAGGAGAAAAAGTCCCTAGATGAGATGGATTAACATAATAACTGGAGTAATAGGGGTAGATGTGGAAGAGACCATGAGATTGGCTCAGGATAGGACAGGATTCAGAGCTTTTGTGCATAGGGTCGCTATGAGTTGTTTATGTGACAGCACATAACAATAATAATAATATGGTAATTAATGTTATAAAATATATGAATATTGTATGAAAACCCAATATATCTTGTCAAACTTTATTCAAATGAAAAAAAAAATTGTGTTGTTGTGTTTTTGTGTACTGTTTAGTCAGAACTGACTCATAGCTGACCCTCCAGTAGGTTTTCAGAGGTGATAAATTGCACTGGAGGAGATTGCTAATGGAAAAAAGGAGTACATTATTTTAAGATAAATTTAACATAATTGTGCCCAGTGAATTTAAATAGACAAATATAGATAATTATGGAGTTAAAAAGTAACTATTTTAAATTCAAGTTTTAAGGGAAAAGGATTGAAGCTAAGGTATCTGTTGTGAGCTTGGAAAAGGAAGCAAGATAGGACATGAGAAGAATCAGCAGGACTTTGTTGATTGAATTAGAGGTGAGAACTATGGAAACGGGGAACCAAAGAAGTATATCTGGTTCCTGGAGTTTAGATACTCAGGAGAAAAATAGTATCATTTATGTATCAAGTAGTTAATGATTTTAGTTTTAAATGTGCTGAGCTTGAGATTGTAGTAAGATATCCAAGTGGAAATGTCTGAGGCAGTGTTGGGATTTAGTAATGAAGGTTTGATAAGATAAGATGTTTGATAAGCTATTTTTGAGAGATTTTTAATATGAATTAGACTTATGATTCAAGTCAGATAAGAAAGCCAACACTTGCCTGCCTTCTATAGGACTATACCTCTGAGCAAAAGTACATAATAATTATGAAGAGCAGAGAGTTGAGGATTTAACTTTAGAAACTTGGGTAATTCCTGATGCTAGAAAAGGGTAGCCGAGAAGAAAGAAAAGAATAAAAATAATGCAGACTAAAAGAGTTAAACTAAAATGAAACCAAGCCTAGCGCATTGAGACAGTTCTGACTTATAACGACCCTCCAATTAGGTTTCTGGGGCTGTAAATCTTTATGAGATCTTCCAGGAAGCAGCTGGTGGATCCAAATTGCTGACTTTCAGTTAGCAGTGCAACACATAGTGCATTAAGTCATCAGAGCTCCTTCATAAGAGTTAAGGGAGGAAGTAATTGTAGTAACAAAGTTCAAGAGATGAAAGATGAGTAGATATTGAGGGATTTAGTACATAGGAGATAATACTCTTCAAAATTATAAACTCACTACTGAGTAATAGCCAAATAATGAAAACTCTCCTTCCTTCCTTCCATTCTTCTCTTTCTTCCTCTTCTTCTCTTTTCTTTTCCTTTTATTATTATTAATTTTAATGGAAATTTACAGACTTTGGATTTCCATTCATTCATTGTTGCACTTTTCACCCTGCCCCCTGCCCCCATTTGCTCTTCTCTTTGAAAAAGAAAAAATCTTTCATTGTTATACAATCCCTCCCCCCAAGTCCACCCCACAACGCAGCCTTTGTTCTGACTCTTGTCATGACAGTAATACGACAATTCTTTTCTATAGTTTAAGTCAACAAGTATTTCTTGTTGTTTCACACATTTCCCTCATCTGCATTTCTTGTTGTTTCATGCGTTTCCCTTATCTTTGAGTGAGGACTCACAAAAATCAGATCTATTACACACAGTTTCTTTTAGTGATGAGGAAGATAAAACTTAGGGCAAGTTTAGAAGCCAAAGAGAAACGATGATTTTCTAAGGTCTGTGTTTTTATCTAAAGAGCCCTGTGGCATAATGTGTAACACATGAGGCTACTAACAGAAAAGTTGGCAATTCAAATATACCACTTTTTCTGTAGGAAGAAGATGGACAATCTTCTTCTGTACAGATTTACAGTCTCAGAAACCCAGTGGAGAGTTGCTATACAATGGTAGCCACTCAATTGCAGTGGGTCTATAGCACAATATTGGCAAATAAGAATACTCGTCAGGAGTTAATTTGCTATATTGAAGAATTTTGTTCACTCATTAGATTGAATTAAACTAAATCCTCCCTGGACCAGACCATATTCTACCATTAGGATATTGGTATTTAAAGGTGATTGTTAAGAGATGAGCTTAAAATTTGGATAGTATTTTTTAAAGTGACTTTTTGGGAATTAAATTATTTGACATTTTTCTAGATATAAAGTGATTTTATTAATCTTAAATTCCATTTTACTAAAAATAAAAACCCCACCCAAACCTGAAACAAACAAAAAAACAAACAAACCTTTGTTTTGAAGTAAAGAGTAATACACCTTTCCTGTTGATCACAGTCAGATTGAATTGTATCCCTCCTAAAATATGTGTCAATGTGGCTCAACGAGTATGCTGAGTGGTTTGGCAGCTATATGGTGAAGTAATATTGCAGATATGTAATGATAAAATCATCTAAAGTATGTGATCAGCTTATTAGTTTCATATAAAGATTAGGGAAGGGTGAAATACTTTTACTCAGGACACAAATCTAATCTGATGTAAGGAGTAGTTTCTCTGGTCTGTGCCTGTATCAACTTTTGTCTTAGATAAAAGGAGAGGGAAATAAGTAGGGAGAGGGGGACCACATTGGGAGCTGAGCACAATCTTTGGATCTAGGATCTCTGTGTTTAAAAGCTGCTAGAGCCAGGAGAAGAATAAAATACATGGAAATCTCCAAAGAATATGAAACCCACTAAAAGGATATACTAAAAAGAGACGAAATCCTTCTGAGAGCCAGTATAGAGAATTTGAACTTCGAGCTTCTTAACACTATGAGAATAAATTTCCGTTAAAACCACCCACTTGTGGTTTTTCTGTTATGGCAGCACTCAACTCAACTCAACTCATTGCTGTTAAGTCAAAATGACCCATAGTTGATACTGCAGTGGGTTTTCAGAGGCTCTATGCTGCAGGGGAGGAAGCTGTCCATCTTTCTCCCAGGGAGCAGTATGTAGATTTGGACTGACTGCCTCTGAGCTGGCAATGCAACTTCTCACCCACCAGAGCTCCCAATGGCAGCCCCAGAGAACTGGGGAACTGAACAGCAGCTGTAAAGTTCTGGGTGGAGCACATAGCTTGTTTTTCCAAAGATATTTGTTTATTAAAATATCCACCAGTTTCGTCTCTGAGTTTTAGCTATTTGTAGTTCAGTTGTAGCAAGTGTGATCTTTTCACTTCTTCAAATCTACTAACTCTGTCCTTATGCCCTGGGGTTCTGTCCTGAATGCAGTTTACTCCCAGAAGATCATAATAAGGGCTGAAGTAGAATATTGCTAACACGTTGCTGCAAATGACGGTAATACGTCGAAAAGGGCAGGGGAGGAATGTGTTTCTAAGCATTGGTTGTCAATTAAAAGTGTGCGGCAACGTGTTAAATACATTTTGTACATACTTTTCTTAGGAAGATTTGATCATTCCTGGAATTTTATTACAGAAACTGAAAAGCCAATCTACCAAGTACAAGACAGACAAAACCTACCCTACTGCTGTGGCCGAGAGGCCCGAGAATATCAAGAAAAACAGATATAAGGATATCTTGCCCTGTAAGTTCTATTTTTCCCTATAAACTTGTACTTTTTCCCAAAGGCAATGATTCTTCTCTTCTTCTTTTACTCATTATGATTCCTAATCCTGGAACATGACATTGGCATATTAGTTGTACTCTTTAGAAGAGCATTCATTCTTTCATTCATGCATCACTATTCACAGTGTTAGGCCTCAGCTTACAGTAAACCCTTTGGCTAAGACCACTTAACATTACACTGTCTTTCTTTTCTATTATAGATGATCATAGTCGCGTAGAGCTGTCTCTCATAACCTCTGATGAGGATTCCAACTACATCAATGCCAACTTCATTAAGGTACGCTGAAAAGAAATAAAAGCAACCTCTATCTTTCTAGATGCCTAAAAAGGCAGAGGAAAATGAGACAAGAATAAGAAGATATTATTTGTAGCTATCCCATCTAATTTCCGTTCCTCTTTAGGGAGTTTATGGGCCCAAGGCTTATATTGCGACTCAGGGTCCTTTGCCTACAACTGTCCTGGACTTTTGGAGGATGATTTGGGAATATAATGTCCTGGTAAGTGCAGAATTGTTACTTAATTCTTTAGCTTTTTTGAAGATAGAGGTAGTATGGGCTCAAAATACGTGGCTAAGTTTTCACGTCTATCAAATGCTTTTGGTTGGTTGATGGAATTTTGCTTTTCAGGCACCTTTTAGTGAATTTGACAATTGCAATCTTTTTCAAGGAAATGAAAGTTCATACCTTGATGTGCTCATTTGGTAACAAGAAGTTAATTTACTGACTTGAATAGAAAAGAGGGAAGTGGGGACAAAAAGAAGGAAGAGTAGGAGTAGCATTGTATAAACCAAAGGGGAAAAAACCCCAAGATAACAGGCCCACGGCTGATCAGTTGACTGTGACTCATAGCGACCCTCTATCAGGACTTCTGAGGGGCACATTCTCTTGGGAGTCTCTTTCTCATGAGGAGCAGTTGGTGGATTTGAACCACATGGCCAACCTATTGGTTAGGGTAACCTTACATACCATGCTCTACTTCTTTCTTTCTTCTTTTTGGTTTAAACCAAACCAGAGAATGGTTAGTACTTTGCAGCCCTGGAACTCGTGCTCTTTTTCAGTATGATAGACCTTGGAGTCTCTCTCTCTTCTATTCCCTCAGATCATTGTTATGGCGTGCATGGAGTTTGAAATGGGAAAGGTGAGTTGTGTTTTAGAACCTGTTTACTAAAAGTAAGGAGGAAACAGCAGGACTTAAGTGTGCTAGAATAAAAATGATGTTCATTTTGGTAATTTTCAGGTGGGATATCATATAACTTTTAAGGAGTATATATGTACTCCCCCACCCAGCCCATTAAGAATATCTTTGGTCAATCTTCTTATTTTTATTAATCCAACACCTTTCACAGCCAGAACTTCTAACTCTGTACTGTTCAACGTGACATCCTCTAGCCACATGTGGCTTTTGAGCACCTAAAATATGACCAGTATGATTAAGGAACTGAACCTTTAAGTTTTAGTTCATTTTAATGAATTTAAATTGAAAGACTGATACTCAATTCAATCAGAAAAATCTTGTTTATTTTAAACACATCGGGTATGTGAATCATTCTTACCAACCAAATTTTATTAAGTCTGAGTAAAATATTTCCAGTGAAATATTTAGTGATATACAAAAAACAAAAGAGATACCAGATTTAGCATAAAAATATAAAATATCCACTAACTTTTATATTATATATTTTAAAGTTCTGGATATATGCAATTAAGTGGGCTAGATTCTTACTATTCCTTTTTTTGTTATTTTTACCATGGCTATCAGAAAATGAAAAAAGAAATACATGATTAAGTATAACATATATGACAGCAATCCAGAATAAGAAGTACATTGCAAAGTGGACTGGGGAGGGAGTAGGGAGAGAGAGGGAAGAAAATGTGTAACAATGAATTATTTTTTAAAAATTGCATGTGTGGCTCATATTCTACTTCTATTGGAGAGCACTGTTCTAACCTTCATGAAGTAACACTGTGCCATTCTGAGTCAATACAATCTCACTCAGAACTGAGGAAACTTGGTGTTGCATTCACCTTAAACAGTTTTGTTTTGGTACACAAATAATTTATGTGTACCAAATATCAGGACTTTTGAAGCACTGAAAATAAGTCAAAGTTCCTTGTACTTGTCATTTCAGGCTTTCAGAAAATGTGTATTGCATGTATCTTTTAATGTTTGTTTTCCCATTCCTGAGGATTGCACTCTGGAATGGAAATTTAAGAGAGTCACATGTTTCTAACCTCAAGTAAAGCACAAAGAGCTGCATTAGCTTGTGAATGAGGGGCATGTTCTGTTATACAGAGAGACTAGAATAGAGAGAAATGTCTACATTCTGCTTTTGTGCAACAGAAAAAGTGTGAGCGTTACTGGGCTGAGCCAAGAGGACCTCAACTGCAAGTTGGGCCTTTCTCCATTTCCTGTGTGAGTATGGTGCCTGTTCCTGTTAGAGTTGGGCACAAGCTCCTGGGGATCTATTTCACACAGATCTTGTCTTTGTCTTTAGACATAACTAATATTTTAATATTTTCTTTCTTAGAAAGATGAAAAAAGAAAGTCTGATTACATAATCAGGACTCTAAAAGCCAAGTTCAACAGTGTAAGTATAGAACAAGAGAGGTAAGCTACAATGGATCCGGCCCACAAACGGGCATGTGTGGATGCTTCCGTCATGAATTAAAAATCTTAATAAAATACATACGCCAATCTATTAATTTCATTTTTACAAAATAATTCACATAGCATTTTCTTCACCTGACATACTGGCATTGATATTAAATATTAACACTTTGGATTAAAGAAATACCTGAAAAAACAAACCCATGTCACATTACAAACATTTGATGAGAAGCAGTGTACTATCTACCCTCTTCTAACAATGGGGTAACTTTTTCTTCTGTTATAAATGAAAAAGCTTAATAAAATCAATACATACATCAAACTATTATATATTTAAAAATAATTTGCATAGTGTTTTCTTCAATATACACACTGGCATTGATGTTTTATATTAACACTTTGGATCAAAAGAATATCCTGAAAATCCCACATCGCATTACAAACATTTGATAAGAAGTAGTGGGGTAAGGGTTCCTGGTTCTCCTGCCCTCTGGTTTAATGTTTCTATGCTACATTCACTTACAGCCTGTGCTTTCTTAAGTTCTGCTCTCTTGCAGTTCCATCCCCTCTTCCTGCCATATGCCATCAACAGGCCTCATTTGGACACTATTGTGGTCAATGACTGCCATAGCCAGAAGACAACCTGGACACCTGTCTCATAAGCACCCTGGCTTGGCCTCTCTTCTTGTTTTTTATGAATATTTTTTTGCCTCTCTTCTTGACTCTCAGAGATCTGCCTGGTTCTGTCCTGAGGCTGACTCATTTCTAGTTGTCTCTTTCATATTTTTTTTAGTCTCTTTCATCTTGACTTCCATTTCTGCTCACAAGATCCTAGTGTGGAGTTTCCACCTTGTTTCCCAAGACTAAAAAGCACTGATCTTTAAACACACGGAAATAAAATTTTTTCCTTGGGCTCTCCTCTATTTTTATATTTCTATGTTTTATGCAGTCCTGGAGTGATGTAAATGGCTAATGCACTTGGATGTTAAGAAAAGGATTGATGTTTGAGTCCTTTAGAGATGCCAACAGAAGAAAGACCTGGTGATCGATGTCTAAAAAGTTAACTGCTGAGGAGTTCTACTCTGACGCATATGGGTCTCAATGAATCAGAATTAACAGGACCAAAACTGGAAACAGTTGATAGACTGTTTTATGTTCCTTTCTCAAATACAACCCATTCAATGCTGAAGAACTTTCCAAGTCTGATAAATGGTCTACGTGTGCCTCACCAATCAGCAGGTTCTGCTTTATCCTGATGACAGCTCTCAGTTTCTCAGGAAGCCTCTGAGACAGCCAAAGAAGCTTTCTTCTGCCACTATAAGACTACCAAAGATGTGGCTTCCTGGAGGTTCTCCTTAATCTTTAGCTTCATGTGCTCCCAGTGATTGTGATGGAAGGCATACTGCTTTTGGCTGGCACTGCTGTGCAGGAACAGAATAGTACAAAATAAACCCCCACCATGGTGAAGGTGAAGAGCAAAATCTAGAGGTCTGTAAATGTATAGTAAAAGGGGAAAAGTCCAAAGAAAAGGCAGTAGAGGTCAACTGTCAGGATGTCTAAGTTGGCAGGCGTGGCACGGGTCACTCTAATCACTAGTGCCATAAAGCTTGTACCAGCAAAACATAGAGGGCAAACACCACAAAGGGCAGGGCAGTTTTCTGGTCCCAGTGAATGCTGGCAATATCTTTATATTCCACAATAAACAGATGTAGGCAGCTGATAACTAATCCAGAAACTCACATCATTTCTAAGAACTCCTCTCTGCCCAGCTTCTTCATGCTATATTCTTCACACACATTCTCAAACTTCAAACACAGGGGATAAGAAAAACTAAGATGTCAAGCAATCAGTATATCACCACCTATATTGTCTTCCCTCCCTGTTAATATGTCTTCACCAAAAATAATACATTCAACGGCTCTCCCCAGCGGTGAAGAGGATCACTTTATATCTTTCATAAAGAACCATGAGAGAGTCACCAATACAGGAATTCCAAAGCTGGGCACTGGTTAAACTCCTGTTAGTGGTGTGCTGTGACAGTTAAGTAACCAGCTTCTGCACCTGCTGGCCTCAGAAGGATGTAGTGTTATCTTTATGATCCAAGTGTCAGCATCATGATACAAATTAGAAACAGCAACCTATAGCTGATAAAGCTCTAGTTGCATTGGAGTGTTCAGTTTGTAACTCCCTGTAAATCCTGGATGGTGATAGCTGTCCCACACGTGTGCTTGTTGTTAGGTGTTACCTAGTTGTAACTCATAACAACTCTATGAACGACAGATCTGAACCTTGTCCTATCCTGCACCATCCTCATGAGCTCTGATGTGCTTGAGCCCATTGTTAAAGTCACTGTGTCAACACACTTAACCCAGCGCAATCGCTTTAAAAATATTCCAGGTGAAATTTGCCTTTATCCTGTTTAGGTAGCTGGCAAACATGCCTACTGCTGTATATCAAGCTGTGAGGCACCTGTCCTCAGGCAAGGTGGCTTCCATTGGGGAGGGTCCCTGCTTGGCTCATTCCAGGTGCCTCCTTCCAACACCCCTGACAAGTGCTGAGCCTGGAAGATAGGAGGTGGTGCCTGTATTTTGGCCAGGGGTCTGGGGCCTGGCTCCCAGGGCTTCTCCCCCCCCCCTAGTTTATTTACAAAATTCAAATACAAATTTGAACAAATTCTTTCAAATTCTCTCACCCCCCCCACCCAACAAATTGTACAATCCAATGTTTAATTCCTTCTTCCCCCATATATTCACATCCCTCTGCTTCCAGCCTCTCCCACCTCTCCAGGATCCTTATATTCATTCTACAAGAATGGTCTTATACAATATTTATCCTTCTGGGACTGAGTTAGTTCACTCAGCATAATGCTCTCCAGTCCCTCCCAAGTTAGGTAATAATTTACAAAGTTTTTGCTGTTGCATGTACCATAATTTCTCAATCCATTTGTTTGTGGTTGGGCATTTGGGCTGTTTCCGTGTTCTTATGAAGGTGAATAATGCTGCTATGAACACTGGTGTACAAATCTCAGTTTGTGCCTCAGTTCTCATATTCTCAGGGTATATTCCAAGTAATGGAATAGCTAGGTCTCCCAGGGCTTTTGATATTCTGGATAAGTCTTCATATTCAAAAGACTTTTGGTATAGATGTGCTTTTCAACCTTTTCCAATATGGCATATGCAAATATAATATAATAATAATCATATTGTTGTTGTTGTTGTTGATTGCCTTCAAGTCGAGCACAATTTCTAGTGACCCTATGAACAAAAGGCCTGAAGTCCCTCTACAACTATTGACATTTATCAAAGTTCATAGAGTTTCCGGAGGCATATTATTTAGGAAGTGGATGTCATGCCTGCTTCCAAACCTGTCATAGTACATTGTTGTTGCTATGTGCCACTGAGTTACCTGCGATGTATAGTGACCCTATGTACAGAAGCTCTAAACCTTTCTCTGTCCTGAGCCAGTCTCACTAACTCCGACACACCAACCCTCATCACCTCAGTTATGATAAATATATATTTATATATATACTATATATACAAATATAATGTTTGTATAGGGAATTGAAGGATGTACAGTGACTAGATGCTAACGACTACTTGAGACCCCAGACTCCTCAGTTCATCCCTAGGATTCTAAGCTAAGGGATTTAATATATCAGCATACTCAATGACCCATGTGAGGCATGCCAGATGGGAAACTCTGGTTTGGACTGTCCTCATGTTTACTTCCTCTTGTGAGTTGGACAGAGGGAAACATGACCAGAATAAATGATCTGAAGTAATTTTCAGTTGTTCTCAAAAGGTATCTTGTCACCGATATCTATAGGACTAAAACAGTACCATCTATAAAAAGGACATAGATAACATTTACTAAGAGTAAACTTGTCACAGAATGAGATGCAATCAGAACTTTGAACTTGCCTCTTATTCTGGCTATGTTTTATAGGAAACTCGAACCATCCACCAGTTTCATTACAGGAATTGGCCAGATCATGATGTGCCTTCATCTATAGACCCTATTCTGGAGCTCATCTGGGATGTGCGTTGTTATCAAGAAGATAACAGTGTTCCCCTATGCATTCACTGCAGGTATGAGGCTGTGTATGTATCTTCTATCCAAAACAGTCACTTTGACAAGGACTCCAGGGAAGACTGAAGGAAGACTCACTGTGTTGGAATTTAAGATGGTGTGAACACATAGGATGTGGGCTCCTAATTCCAGCCTCACTTACTCCAATTGATCAGAAAAGAATAAAGATTAGACGTGAGAGTGATTAAATGAAAAAGGTTAATAATAGAAACACATGTTGTATTAAATTCATCTTCTGAGCATTAAATGGATGTTTTCCTGATAAAATACTGTGACCAGAACAAGATGACAGATTCTTGCTGTAAGGACTTGCCTGGGATCTTCTAAAAATTAATTATGGCATGTGACAATTGCTAAACATATTCTAGGAAATGGTAGATTACAGAAAGTTCCATCACTTCTAGGGTCTTCCTTTTCAAATGTGATAGTGAAATATTCTAGTTTTTGTTGTCAAAGACTCACTACCTGCAACTCTAAATGCTCCTGTGATCTTTAATTTCAGTGCTGGCTGTGGAAGAACTGGTGTTATTTGTGCTATTGATTACACTTGGGTGCTGCTAAAAGATGGGGTGAGTTTCTCTCAGCAGGCACATTCCGCTTTCTCACCTGCTGCTATCACACTCGGGAACTGTTTAGTTCCTCAGTTATAGCGAGATATTATCTCTCTCCATAATTATTCTTTCCCAGAATATTCACTCATAAGCTAGTTTTGTCAGTTACATAATTCAATTAGCTTCTAAGCCAGTGGCTCTTGAGGAGTAGTCTCCAGAAGAGGAGCATCAGTGCATTGTCCTGTCAGTACAAATTTACCTCACTATCCAAAGGTCAAGCCGAAGGAGAAAATATGGCCAAATACTTCCTGTATTCCTGAATGCCCGTCGTCTTCCCACGGAGCAGCTGGTGGGTTCCAATTGTGTGTCTCTGGGATGGCAATACAGTTCCCACCACTGGTCACTTGAACTCCCTCATGGGATTTATAGGATCCCTAAAAGCCACTGGAGGGAGGTCTGGTGGCCTAGGGCAAAAAGCTGTGCTGCAATCCCAAAGACACAATTCAAATCCACCAACTGCTTTGGGAGAAAGATAGGCAATCTCCTCCTATATGATTTCCTGCCTCTGAAAACTCACTGACGGATTAGCTATGAGTCAGTTCCGACTCAATGACACAAAACAACAACAACAAACCCACCGGAAGATCAGCTCCAACTAGACAGGAAAGAGGTAGGTTGTTTTGGTGTTGGGATTGATGTTGTTTTTCTTTTTTCTTTTTTTTTTTTTTTTTTTAGTTGTTGTTGATGGAATTAGAATCTATGGAAGGAAGGGCTAGCAAATCCTATGGAGGATTCTGCTTCATGCTAACATTCAAGAACCTCTGCCCCAAATTATACCATTACTTTTCCTTACTTTAACAGTTTTAGCAGATGAATTCAATTTATTGCAAATAAAATTTAATGTTTCAACCTATAAGTCATCTTTTTAAAGCCTAAACAATATGTATCTAATGTTTATTCATTGTCATTGAGTCAGAACTGACTGACTCATAGCTGACCCTCCAGAACGTTTTCAGAAACTGTAAGTCACACAGGAGGAGACTGTTTATCTTTATCCCACAGCTGGTAGATTTAAACCACCAGCCCTTGGACTGGCAAAACAAATCTTCACACCATAGGCCACCAGAGTTCTCTGTAAAGGAAACATGAGATTCATATTATTCATATTGCCAACTTCTCATGTTTCATAAAACTTTTATCCTTACTCTTCCACTGAACTTTCTCTCACCTCATAATTATAGTTTCAGACACTTGAGTCCTAGAGACTAAAAGTCCATTCAGAAAAGATTCTTTACACTTTCCTAGGGAAATTGCCAGCCTTTGGATTATGACCCAAGTCATAGCAAACCTCCTTTGTTTAAAAGATACTTTCTTTTGTGACTGTTGTTTGATGTTATGAAAACAGGTATCATGAAAGTACAAGACTATAAAAATGGTAGCAATGATTTATTAACAAAGATAGGATCAAAAGGAATAAAATATTTTTTCCTTTTATTCGGTAGATAATTCCTGAGAACTTCAATATATTTCATTTGATTCAGGAAATGCGGACACAGAGGCCAACATTTGTTCAAACTAAGGTATGGACTGTGGTGATTAGCCCTTGGGTCTGCATTCTGTTCCATATCTATGTTTATGGCAAGTGGTCAGTTTGAAGACTCAGGTCAGGCCAGAGCCTTTTAAATCACCTGCTATGCACCAGAGAGCTAGATAATGAATGAGGATGACAGACGAAGAATTGATGCTTTTGAACTGTGATGTTGGAAAACAGTTCTGAAGACCCCATAGACTTCTCAAAGAAAAAATAGGTTTTGGAGAGGGTGCAAATCAGAGTGCTCCTTGGAGGCAAACATGCTGAAGCTTCCTCTTTCACACTTGGGAAGGTATAGCTAGGAAAGATGCTTGGAAAGATGGAGGGTCAGCTAAGGGGAGAAAGATCACTGACAAGATGAGCTGACATGATTACTTAAGCAATAGGCTCTAGTGTATCAGAGATGATGAGGATGGCACAGGTTAGGGCAGGTCCAGGCCAGCTGTTTATAGGGTATCAGTGAGTCCTACTTGATTCAACAGCACCTAACAACAAACAGTATCTGGACATTACAGTCTATAAACTCATATTAGAAAATTTTGAAAAGTAAAATTAGAAACACCATTAATTTGTCACTTAAAAAGAGTCAAGATCACTATTTTTAAATAATCTCCTGAATACTTTAAAAAACTTAACTACGGTTATGTACACTATATGTTGGAGTCAGGGAGACTGGCTTAGGACAGGGCAGGCTTCAGAGATGTTGTACATAGGGTTGCTGAGTTGCAGGCAACTCGATGGCACATAACAACAACAAAACCAACAACTCACTGTATATGTACAGTATTATGTCCAATTTATAACCTTTTAACTAACCTCAGACTGTCCACTCTTGTTCAGTCTATTAGGCATGGTCTTCCCCTCTATCATGGATTTCTGCTCAAATTCTACCTGATCACGATGTATAGTATTAACATCTTTCTTCCTTCTTAAAATTGTGGTTTAAGTACAAGCTTACAAAGCAAATTGTTTTACTAGTCAATCATTCATATATATTTTTGTTTTCTAACATTAATTATAATACCCACAATGCAACTGACCTCTTTCCACTTCTTTGTAATTCTCTTAACCTGTCCCTGCCTTCAGGGCTGTACCTTAGGACAAATGCTGTTCCTTTGACCTTATATGATTGGTTATTCTTAGAAGCAAGTACCTCTCTGATATTGTTCACCTGATGGGCCTGTTTATTGTTTGGCTGAAAGGTAAGCCATGGGAGGTACTATTAATTTTATATTTCTACACCAATAATTTTACCCACACTTCTAAGTGGTCTCCATTTTAAAGACATAATTTAGCATTTGTCCATCTTTTCATCCATCAAACACTTAGTAATGTTTACTACATAAGAGGACTTTTGTTAGAACTCTGCTATTTAAATAGTCAGAACTAAAGTGTTTGTTGGGTCAGTTATGAGTCAGTTGTAACACCATGGCACACAACAACAACAACAAAGTGTTTAAAGTATTTTTGAATAGACTTGAATATCTGTTTAGCGATGAAATAACTGACAAGCTGAAATTCAGATACTTCGATCAAGATGTTGTAAATTCAGGGGGGAAAATGAGGAACTGTTATAATACAAACCTGTTTGGCCCACACTGCCTACAGGTTTTCCACTAATAGTAAGTGGAAAAAAATTTTTTTTCATGTGTTAACTGTACATGTTTTCTATATTCAACCTGTGAGAGGAAAAGTTTGTGTGAAATGAAAGCATTGGCTAAGTTAATATTTTCATATGTAAAAGGAGGCTGCTCTATATAAATGTATAAAGATTCTAGGAAGTATGCAACTTACTCATAAAATATTATGTGGTGATTTAAAATTAATGAACAAAATCATACCCCCTCATTTCAGAAAAATTCTGCTTTAGATATACTTTTTTTTTAAAATTTAGGTTGTTTATTTTTCATTTAACAATAGCTGAGGCAGTTTTAAATATGCCTTCAGGTTTGGTATTACCAAAGACTAGCTGAACAAATACCTTAACATTTGTGGCTGCTTTTTCTGATACTTCTCTAGCCAGGAAATCGCACTGTAACCAGATGAGTGCTTCCTGTCTGATTTTTCTCTCCTTAAAATAAATGTAAATAGTGCAACAGTGGCTGAGGTAAAGTGGCTGAATGATAAAGACTGTGTTGTTTTCTTGTTAGAGTTATCTTTTAAATAAGCTTTACATTACTTGTATGAGTTGTGTTAAGTGTCAAGGAGAACTCTGAACAGTCCCTTTCAGATGAGAAGTAGATCCCAAATGAAGTGCACACCCAAGTACAAAGGCATAAATAGAGCACTGAGAAACCATAAACCTATAATAGTAAAGATTTCATCTTTCTACAGTGGCCTTTTTTATGTGTTTTTTTAAAAATACTTTAAATAAAAACTGTGTGCTAGGACAGAATTTTAGCAGCTTTAAGTGTGCTAGACTAAGAGCCAATAAGTTCAGGTTCTGACCTAGGATACTATTTCCAGGTAAATTCGGAAAACTTGGTTACATATATGGGCAAGTAGCCCAGCTATCTCACAGAGCAGTTGTGAGGGTTAAGTTAACTAATAAATATTGAGCCTATCTCAGCCACAACGTTTGTAATTTTCCCCCCTTCAGAAATGACTGAGGTAACTTATGAAATTTTACATAGATAAATACTGGATAAAATATGTTGTTGTTTTTGGTTGTCTTCGAGTCGAGCACGACTTATAGGGACCCTATGAACAAAAGGCCTGAAGTACCTCTACAGCTGTTGACATATATCAAAGTTCATAGAGTTTCCAGAGGCATGTTATTTTTCTAAAAGTGAATAAGGGAAATGCTGCCTGAGGGAGAGTCAGACAGTGGGGACGGAAGATATAAAAATCATGACATAGATCTTATACATTGTTGTTGTGTTGTTAAGTGCTGTCAAGTCGCAGGCGACTCATAGCGACCCTATGAAGGAGAGTCCTCAACGCTTGGGTACCTTTCATCCTCTCTCCAGGTTCATAGGGTTTCCAGAGGCAAGCTATTACGGAATTGGATGCTACTCCTGCTTCCAAGCTATAGGACCTAGAGGAATGTCTGAACAAAAACAATGAAAGACTCTATACATTAGCTAAAAGTAAATCAAATATCTGAACATTTTCTAGCAACTTGAAAGTCCTCTCACTGGATTGATAAAGTGACTACCACTATTGGGTTAACTATGGAGGGATATTATGTTGGTTCAGCAGAGAGCAGGGTTTAGATCTATTGCTAATGGGGTCACTATGAGCAATATTAACAACAACTAACAACAACAATAAAATAGCACTTTAAAATTTGACACGATCTACAAAAACATAACCACTGTCACCATCGGTTGTAGAGTCAGTTCTGATTCATTATGAGTGGATGTGTCAACAGTAGAACTGCGTTCCCTGGGGTTTCCAATAATTTATATTTTTTGGAGGAAATCACCAGATTTCTCTTTCAAGGTGGCTCTGGGTGGACTCAAACTTGTAGCCTTGTGGTTAGTAGCCAAACACATGACCTGTTGTGTTACCCAGGGACTCAATGTAAATGTGAATTACATATAAGTAAACATAATTTAAGTCTCCTTTCAGCTTCTGTGTACTAGGATTTTATGATGTTTTTATTCCTGCAATCTGGTTCCCTAACTCTCCAAGTTTTCCTTTGTGTGTTTGGTCTGGCTTGTGATGTTCTTCAGGAACAGTATGAACTGGTCTACCACGCTGTATCAGAGCTATTCAAGAGACATGTTTCCAGGGAGCAACACTCTGAAACAAAGGTAAAATGTAAATGTAATATTTTTTCATGTTTGCTTTTATATTTGGCTATTTCATATTTTTATATTTGGCTATTTCATATTTGGATGGGACTTCATTGTAAAAGTTAACTTATTATGCATTGTCATTATTAACTTGGGGTGTCAAGGACACTCAGAACTACACTGGAAATATCCTGTGAAGGATGAATTAAGGCACTTTTCAACTAAGAAAATCAATCTTTTAAACTATTAAATACAATTTTCAGCTAAATGTAGGAGCAGTAAGAGTGACTAAGCAATCCCTATGCACACCCAAAAACTTCTCCAACAGGGTAAAAAGGGAAGCCATAGACTGGGAAAAAGTATTTGGTAATGACATGTCAGATAAGGGACTTATATCTAGAATTTATAAAATACTTGAGTACCACAACAAGATAAAGGTAAATAATCCAATTGAAAAATGGGCACAGGATATGAAGACATTTCACCAAAGAAGACATTCAGATGGCCAACAAGCACACAAAGAAATGTTCAAAATCCCTAGCTCTGGGGGAGCTCTGGTGGCCTAGTGGTAAGGAGCTGCAACTACAATCCCAGAAGCTCACGGTTCGAATCTACCAGATGCTCTGCCGGGAAAGGAGGGACAATCTCCTCCTGTACCAGTCAGATCTGATTTGACGGTACACTTACACAAAAATAATAAAATAAAAAGAAAAAACCAATAAAAAATTTAAAAAAATCCCTAGCTCTAAGAGAGTTGCAAATCAAAACAACTATGAGATATCATCTCACCCCAGACAGAATAGCAAAATTTAACAGAACAGCAACCAACAAATGCTGGCGAGATTGTGGAGAAACTGGAACCCTTATTCACTGTTGGTGGGAGTGTAAAATGGTGCAACCACTGTGGAAAGTGATGTGGCGCTTTCTCAAAAAGTTGCAAATAGAGGTATCATTTGATCCAGCAATTCCACTACTGGGAATATA